TAGTGCCTTTGCTTTCCTGAAGGCCTCTTTTGTTGTAGCAGAGCCTACAGTTTTGTTTTTTGCTTCTGCCTCTGCATTCATTATGCTCAAGTGCCCAACTTGGGAGTGTCTCAGTCATGCTGGAACACATCTGCCGTTTACTGATTAATGTCATATTAACTTAGAATGGTGGCTCAGGCAAGTGCTGCTGCCCTGCTAGGGGAAACAGCTCAAGTGGCTTTTTTATTTATTTCCTGGGGTGTTTCATAGACAAGAAACTCAGGGACCTCTTTAGTGGGCCTGAACCCTGCTGGTTCTGTCCTCTGTTACCACTTGGCCAACTGGCTGACGCTTCCAAAGGTGCTTTCCAGCTCCCTAGCACCTCTTTATACTTCCAGACGTTCTTAAGTTCTGTGAGATGTATCTGGGAATTAATAGCAACAGGGCAAAGAATGAATTAATCAAGGTTAAAGCCACTCTTTGTGTTGCTAAGTGACAAGACTTTGTGTCAAATCTGCCATGGGAAGTCAAGTAGCCCGGCCTCTGCAAATAGTTCTGCAAATAAGATACAATTTTCTGTGTACTGTCCCACCAGAAGTAAGAGCCTTGACAGCACTGAGCGTGAGCAGGCACAGAGAAAGAGCATTATGGCTGCATGGAGAGATAGACTTATTGCCTGTTACTTTCTAAGTAATGTTTTCCAGTTTAGCAGGTGACAAAACATCTGACCCTTAATCTCTCAGGAAGTGCTAATTCCGCTTTGTGTTCGTTAAGGTGAATTCAGTGGAAATGCAAGCAGCCATGGGTTGCACTTGCACTGCTGCTTGTACCACGGCACAGTGAGAAGCCAGGTGAGACTTGTAGGGCACAGCTGTGGTGCTTCTCTGTATGATGGTGGAGTCTTTGGGAGCTACAGCTTCTTTTTATTTATTTATTTATTTTTCTTCTCCCTTTTGCTGCTTGGCACAGGCTGCCTTCTTGTCTGTTCTGCATGGAGGAAAATGTCTGAAACAGGCAGGTTGCCTCCCAAGCCACTTAGCCATGGCAAAGTTGAAGGAAGCACAATGAGCTTTCCTTTTTTTTAAATTTATTTCTTTTCTTCGTTCTGACGAGTCGACATCTAAGAGTTGGTCCAGGTTAGAAATATAAATAAGATAGATGATATTTTTCATGTGTTTTCTTTATTGGTTTGTCTGTCATTCTGTGATATTTTTTTGCTTCGAACTTTTGTAGCACCAAACAAGTAACTCATGGTATTTCAAGGCTATTAACACAGCGAAAGAAATGAACAATTGGCTGCTTACCTACACATTCATTAATGCCCCTGTGGTGACATTTCAAGTGCTGTATTATTCCACATAGCTCAGACTCAGCTCTGTCACTGCAATTACAGTAAGCTATACACTGCAGAGAATGTGATCAATCTGGGAACTGCCAGTCCTACATTTCTTTGTTAGCTCATAGAAACCCTTTACCTGAAGCTCGTCAAGTTTCCTCAGTGATTCTTACATACTTCAAAAAAGTAATGGGGAGATTCAAGCTGCATTCATGGAGATCCCAGCATTATTTCATGCTCTTTTCTCTCAATGAGCAGTGCTTAATTGCACTTTCAATTCTGATAGGCCCAGTAAGTGCAGTCCAGCCAGTTCCCACATGGTTAGTGAGACTGGAGGTTTTCTAGATGGTGTCTTAAAGCCAGAATGCATTTCTTCTAAATGAGTGAAAAGAAATAGTCAAGGCGTGTACCTATTTTGGACAGCATGTGGGAGTCTAAGCTTTGTGGAGGATTGTTTTCTGCTGGAGCATGTCCTTCCAGGATCACATAGAAAAGCATGAAGCTTCTGTCTGTAAAGAATTTAGGAAGTTATCTGAGTGTCTCAGTCACATCAGGGTGGGCAATGACTGTCGTTCAAGAAGAGTTCTGAGGTTGAAGGTGGTTAGACAACTGTCTTCACTTGTCTAACGTGGAATAAATGAGATCTCATAAGGTCGGGGTGCATTTGTCAGTGTGGTGGTTATGGGAGAAGTGTCAACATCCTTGCAATCTACAACGGGCTTCAGAGTATAGTTCTGCAGGATGGATGTTAAAAATAAGAATATCTCCATTCGGGCCAGACCTTCTCCTGCACAGATGCGTTTTCCTGCAAGGAAAGAATGAGGAGAACAGGAGATGATGGTAGAGTACTTTTGCTGGTAACTTATTTTAACCCCTCTGCCGTGAGAGTTCCGACTTCTCAGAGTGGGCATGCAGCACTGCATCCTTCTGGTGGAGGGAATTGAATTAAACTGAGGTCTCAGTGTTCAGAACAGTGTGAGAGTACTGGGTGGGCCAATGCAATTTGAAGGTTTCAGTTTCTCTTGTTCTGTTGCTGCTTTATGGCTAGCTAGGAGAGAGAAGTGGCATGGCTACAAGTCCCACTTCATGCATCTTTTCTTGGAGGATGCATGAGAGGAGCTCTGGTACTTGTTAAGAAAAGGAGGTAAACTGAAATGGTAGTATATGGGGTAGAGCTTAGCTGCCCAGAAGTGACCAGCAGATCTGCAGACATCACTGTTCAGACAGGGATGACAGAGCCACTGAAATGTCTGCAGAGGTTCTGGGAGAGGATAGTCTAGGTCCTGACATAGAAAGAGCTCTTTACCTGTGGAAAATGGCAAGAAGTAGTCACTCTTTCTGAAGGTACCATTTGCATTCAGGAAATGTTCCGGGTCAAATTTTTCTGGATTAGGAAATTCCTTGGAGTCGTGCAGGATGGGAGACAGCAAAGGGAATATCATGGTGTCCTGAATAAGCATAGAGAGGAGAAAGTTAAGTGGAGACATGCCAAAGTGAAGCCCCATCGATCAGTTCCCAGGGCTGAATACATGAAAAGCCCTGCTTTGGTGACTACTGTGTGATCCCAGTAAGCTTCATTGTCTGCCGGAATTAAGTGTTGAAATCCCATGAGAAAAGCTGGTGTAAATGCCAAAATTGCCAGTGGTGGAGTGCTGGGGACATCTAGGAAGCTTTTTTTCACAGCAGCCATTCATATCTAGGAGCCAGCTAGCTACCTTTCCTCATAGTTGCAGTTCATAGAGTAACAACAGTATAACTGTTTGTATTGGAAACAAAAAGTAGGAAAAGACTGGATCATGAAAGGAAGGCTACAACATTGTACAACTCAGTGCATAGCATCACCAGAGAAGGACAACTC